AACCCCCCAAAAAAGGAAGTTATTCTATTTGAAAGGAAAGACAGAAGGACAGGGGAAATCTTACATGTTTACATACTTCTACTGGCCAGGGGTTTAAAGCTGCAAGTTGCTTTGGGACATCACAGGGAACAGGTTTTAGGCAACAATATACTAAAAATTCAACTGAATTTCTTCACCAGTGCTCATGTTTAGAGGCAATAAGTGAAGCACACTGGCCTCGAAATTCAGGTAGCTTTGAAGAAAGGCTTTACAAATTCCTTCCATCTGTCTGTTCGTTGGCATTTTAGATAAAACACGAGAAAAACCCACCACAGACTGAACATGGGAGCGAATGGAAACGTTGTGGCAATAATTAGTGCCCTCAGAAAGTTAATGCTAATGAATCAATCTGAATAGTGAACCAATCAGGATGAACAATGAACTAATATTTTAGATATTCTATTCACTGCAGAGAAGAACTGGAATTGGGAGGCAGTTGCAGTGGAAAATGAAGCTTTCTTAGGTAAACAGATCCCAGCTACAAACACCTCATATTGCAATTTTAGACTTATTCCCACCTAAAGAAGTACCCAATGCCTTTTGCAATGTTTTGGTAACATTCTTAAACACATGAGGAAAATCTGTGTTTAAATCTCTTCGGGTTTACCAGCAACATCTTCTCTTTTCCTATGTTTTTTTTCCTTGAGGATATCTGTGACCACTGATTACAACCAGGAATGCAGGAACTGCTGCAGGTTTCAGAAATGCCAATCCCAAATTCCACATCTCATGTTTTGTGCCGACTTTTTCTTTTAAAGTTATAAATTTTTTGCCCCCATTGCTATTTTTTTCCAACTATAAATTCCTGTGTTTGATTTAAAAAAAAAACACAACAAAACCAACAAACCACATGAGTAATTTCAAAGTTTAGGATTCCAGCTTTGTCTCTGATATCAAAACCAGCCAGCAACTGCAAGGCTCCATCATGACAACTAAGAGTAAAGCAATTTAAAAAAATCATTCCACTCTTTTATTTCATTGAAAGGTTAAAAAAAGAACTGCTTGTAATTTTCAGTGCTGTCTCTTTTCCTTCCAATTCCTGAACAAAGCAGGAATAGCTTTACATTCCTGTCTGTGGGTGTGGTTTTTGACTCACAAAGATAATATTTCCATCAGTGCTTTAGGAATAAATTAAATAACGGATCCAACTTCAACACAGCCCTTCTGTAAACAACAGAGTAAAACAGGAGGCATGAGAAAATGAGGGGAAAAAGGGAGGAAAAGGAATAAAGGAATAGCAATTCCTTAAGATCACAAAATATTATTTGCTAGCTGACAAATATCCTTGTATTCCCCTATAGCACAGGGTAGATAGGGGTAGATATCACAAGTAAACAAGTTTTACTGAATATTGCTGTCTCAGGAAATGGCTGCAAACATAGAGATGTAGAGCAGAGCAATACAACATTGATGCTGGATGTAGTTTCAGAACTCCGTGGGAATCAGTTGAATATATATATATATATATAAAAATAAATATATATATACACACATTATCTAAAGTCTGTGCCTCAATCCATTCTGTGCCAAGAACATCACTACTTAAGAAATCCAACTTTTTGGGACAAAGGGCTATAGTTACACCACCCCCTGAGGGGAACAAGTTCTGTTGGGATCCCAGAAGGAAGGATCCTTCTGCTCACAATATGGACATAAGGAACATCCATATGGCACGTGCTTAAAAAGCCCACTTGCTCTTATACACTCCCCCAGGATAGCTTTTAAAAGATTCTAATTCTTTATTCCATTTCTGCTTAATGTGGCAACAGATCAGAAAACTCCAGCAGGAATAGTGAACAGATCACAATCACTAAAAATACCTATAATTTAAAAAAACATAACTTTATACTGGAGTGGGGTCCAGGAAGTGTTGCTGCCCTAACTCCTGGGATCCACAGAAGTGAGATTTAGATCTGAAAAGCAGGTCTTTTGAGGAAGAGAGAGAAAACAAATTTATTTCAACTGTGTTGAATTGCTCAAAAACCCTCTTTGCCACTACTGGTTGTCATCTAATAGGTACAGTGAGAGATGTTATGAGAAACTGTTGTAGCCACTATAAACAAGCCCGATGCCAACCCAAATTCTGTTCCCTCTTTTTGACTGAAGAAGATTCCCTTGGAATAATTTCCACAATTTCAGCAAAGCAAGAGGGAAAGCCTTGTCCCTCTACAAATAACAAGCTTTAAGGAAAAGAGATCAGCCTATATTTTAGGAAGAATCCGTGCCAGAGGCTCCAGCCAGGCTCCCACATCCACTTCTCACATCCTATGGCCCTTGCTCAAAACACGAACCAACAGTGGCAGTTTGCCCTAAGGTATAAAGTCATAAAAAGTTACTCTCATTATTAGTCACTGCTTACTCTCTGTCTCTTCTTCCCTCAAAGGAGACCATCCCACATTAAGGCATCTTAACAGACTGTGACATTCCCATTGCACAGCTCATTCCAGTGCCTGGCCGTGCATGTGGGATAGACTGGCACCAAGTACATGCACATGAAGCAGATGCTGGCACCTTGCTCTGCTCTCAGAGTCAACTGTTCCCATAAACACAGCAAGGATTAGATCCCTGAGGAAACACCAGTGCTTTTCAACTCAAACAGAAACTGCCTAAACTGCCCCATGTCCAAAATCATTTGCAAGGACATCCCAGCCTAAAGGTTTAGCAGAATACACAGTGTTTTCTCTTTAGTTATCACGACAGGAAGATTTTAAGGTAAGTAAAAATATTAAAACCAATATCTAATGATTAACTATACATAGATTTAAATCTTATTGAAAGGTGGCAGATGATATCCGTTCTCAGACAACAGCTTTTCAAATGTCATGGGTTCACGTGGCCGAATTTTTGGTAACGGGCCATAGAGATGATTTCAGCCACACTGACTCCAGGTAATTAGAGGGATGAAGGAGAACAGTTGACATTATTTATTTTTCAGCACAACAGGTTTTTGTTTAGATATTTTAATGGCACCAGACACAATATAGGAGATACTTCACTTTGGTCTGAATATTAAAGGAGAAAAGTGACTTAAAGGCACCCAAAAGGAAAGCTAAACATGGACACCACCAGAACTGTGATGCTTCCAGGACTCTTACTGATTCATAGAATGGTTTGGGTTGGAAGGCACCTGAAAGATCATCTCATTGCAACCTCCTGCCATGGGCAGGGACATCGTCCACTAGCCCAGGTTGCTCCAAGCCCTGTCCAAACTGGCCTTGGACCCTTCCAGGGATGGAGCAGCCACAGCTTCTCTGGGCAACCTGTGCCAGGGCCTGCCCACCCTCACAGGGAAGAATTTCCTCCCAATATCTAATCTAAGTCTGCCCTCCTCAGCTTCAGGCCATTCCCCCTTGTCCTGTCACTCCAGTCCTTGTCCCAAGTCCCTCTCCAGCTCTCTTGGAGCCCCTTTGAGCACTGGGAGGGGTTCTAAGGTCTCTCCAAAGCCTTCTCTTCTTCAGGCTGAACAGCCCAACTCTCTCAGCCTGTCTTCATAAGAGAGGTGTAGACTCAGTAACACCTTCAGAGATCCTTCAGTCTGCTTAGAGGGTTTAGGATTTTCACTGTATGATCTAGCAGAGACAAGACTGTGCCCTTCTCAGCTCTGGAAAGCTGCTGGAAGATACTGACCTTTCAAAAATCACAGAGATGACAAAACGTAAGAAGTCCAGCTTCAAGGATCTACAATTCATGATCAGAGATGCCACATCCAAAGCAGATGCACAGAACCAGAGCTTCACATGCACAAAGGCACCAGAAGCATAAGAAGCTGCATTTGAACATCCACTGAAGTGAATGCCGTCACTTTTATGTCTAATAAATACACCATTGTTTAAACACATAAAGTCTTTCGCCTGACATGCACAGCCCTGACAAGAAGATCTAATTTGCTGTTCTTTTCCCCACTTGCTTTCAAAGAACTGTTCAACTCGCCCTGTACAGACCGATGCTTTCAGCACAGCTCCTGAGCTGTGCCCTCATTTCAGGTGCCACCTCCATTTGTTGAGGGTGACTGTCTCCATTCCTTTTCAACAGCTCCAGATAAACTACAGAAGTTTAATATTCCTTCTTTTGCCTTTGCACAGCAGAGCACAGTAGGAAGTGAGTGACTATTTTAAGAGACAATGTGTTTTCCCAGTATCTTTCCACCACACACTGCCAACAATTATGGTCAACTCAATGGTTATCCCAGGCCATGACTATCTGTCTAAATATTCCTCAGAGCGTGAGTTCAACCAAACGACAAATTTTTAATGTCAGAAGAGCTCAGACAACTCTGTCTCCCAGGTAAATTTGTCACTTCTGAAGCTCAGCAGAACCACCATCCCAGCCATCCCCCCCGGACACTCCGCAGACGGGACATCTGGGGCCGCAGGAAGAGGCTCTGCTGGCACACCGAGCTCTGGTGGTAACGTACATTTATCCCCTCCCTTCCCTCACGCTCACTTCTCCTCCTTGGATTCCTGACTTCACTGCAGCTCTGCAGAGCTGTGCTTCAGGATCATGTTTCAGGATGTAATTAGCCTTACAAAGGAAAAAAAAAAAAAAATGAAGGGAAAGCGCTTTGGTCGTTTTATTTTCCATGCATAAGCTGCGACTTATGGTGAAATCATTGCTGTGAGTGGACAAAAGAAACATTTCCCAGGCTAAAACTTCAACAGAAAGGTTTGCTGCTTAGAGATTACAGGCTTCAAGGGCAGGAGTGGATTAAGAAAATATGAATTATAGAAAAAAGTTCTAACTTTAATAAATGTCTTTACATCAAGGCTACATTTGCCAAAATGTATTATTCTTTTAAATAAACCTACATTAAAGCCATGCCACTTGGAAACTGAAGCTCTAAACCCATAACCCAGAATAAAATACACATTTTTTTTTTTCTTTGTTTCTTTTGAAAACACTCCACTTTCCCGTTCCTTATGCAACTGTAAGTGCTGGCAGAGGATTCCCAGCTGTGCCTTGTCAGCCTCCGGACCGAGCTCATTGTGCTGCTTCTCCTCTGCCTGGAGCGGGGTTTGAGCAGCTCCGAGCACCAGCACGGGCTGATCCCTCTGCACACAGAGCTGAGCAGCGTCTGCCCCCAGGGAAAGGAGCTCTTCCACACCCAGCTCAAGGAATCATCTCACATGTTTCAACAACCCCAAGCGTTTCTCTGTTTGGTTCAAAGATATCACTGGGGTTCTGTTTCATTTGCAGCGGGGAGACTAAATGACAGCAAGCAGAGTCTGCTGTTAGGTTAGATTACAAGGTAACAACGTTTTCCATTTTAAATTAACTGCTTAAAGCATGGTGTTGAATGGCTTGAACTTCGTGTTAACTTTGCAAATATGTGTGAAATAACGTGAGTTCTAATATTTAGCTGTACTGGACATAAATGCTTTTCTAGATAGAGTTGATCTGCTTGTTCTGTGTTAAATGTCTGCCACGCACATCCAGCTTAAACTAATGGAAAGTGCAATTGGTTTTTGGCTAAATGTAAGTCATTTCTATGCAATACATTTAAAGAGGATGTGAAAAACCTTGGTAAAGCACTTTAACCCCTGTGTGTCATGAGAAATAACGCTGACATCTTAGAAACGTTTGAATTCAGACTGAATAGATAAAAATAGATTATTTCATAAATTCGGATACTCTGGGATTTCTAAAGGGTCTCTCCTTTAGAAATTAACTATTTTCATTAACAGAATAGCAAAAGGACAGATATTGAACTTACTGAAGATAAACATCTTGAAAGCTACAAACTACTGAACACATGGTAAAAAAGATAATAAAGATGCCTTCACATACTGTGCCTGATTAAACATTTGGGGTAAAATTAAAAAATGTATAGCAATGCAGCCATGTTGAGTGTATCTGACAACACAAACATATCATAAATGCATTATATTGGCTATCTATAATTTTATTTTACCATGTAACCATTTATTACAAAAATCCTAAGTGGAATAGGCTGAATTTTCCCCAAATCAAAAATTGGCTGGCCATGTACTAAATATAAATTCCTGATAGATGATCTGAGGATCCCAATCCTGGCCAGGAAAGGTCCAGTGCCCTGAAGGGCCTTTTCGTAATTTGGGCCTTAAAATGTGAGACAACACCTGTTAAATAGGCCAAAGAAAGGAACTCAGTAGCCCAGTATTTTGCATGCAAAGGAAACAGCAATATCAAGCTTTCAGTGCTGAAGAGTTAAATTGGTGTGAAAACACAGCATATAAACTCACATATATGAACAGGATTAGTGTATGAAGACATATTATTTGGCTGGGTACGATATATATTTTCTGCTGTTTTGTGTTTGAGTTGTTTTTTTTTTTTTTTTTTTTTTTTAACTTGTACCTATAAAGTATTTTATAAAAAGATGTGTCACTTTTAAGATAATTTGATTTACTATAGAATTTTACCTTTTATTGAAGCTCACAGCGAAACATCTTTTGTCCAGTAAACATAATGTAATTCACCCCATATGATTCCTGACTTTTAAAAATACAGGGAGAATGGGAAAGTATTTCAGTCATGCCATTATGTGCCTCTGGTGACAGGAAGAAATGGTTAAACATTAAAAAAGCCCAACTGCAATGCAGCAGCATTGTGACTACAGTGTGATTATAAAGTCCCCTAGAAAAATGTGCCCATAATTGAGATGTCAGTAACTCGACGGAAGGAACACACGTGGCCAGGACTTTTCCTTTTACATTCCCTTTTCCCCAAGGGCTCTTTGTGTGTCTGGGCCAGAGCTGTGGAGAACACAAGTTTACTGTGTAATTTTATAACCCATCATTACCGAGTAATTTAGAAACCAAAGCATGAGGTCATTTGTCCTGAGGTGCTCAGAAATGAGCACTTTCTCAACAAGAACAGGCATTTTCAATGCAGAGCAAGCACAAGCTCCTGCATCTATCTGATACGTTAATTAACAGTGATTTCTGTAAATAAAAGCCCAGTATAGAGTCCATCTGGCATTTTGGAATGACTGGTTTAGGATGGGTAGCAAGCAGCAAACTCGAGGCTGGATTCATTTCAGAACCCTGCCCTTACATGAGACGCTGTGAGGATTTGTGTGAGACATTTGCATCTCTCAAATCCCCTTCATATGGAAACAAAAACATTACCTTCAAATTGCAAATTAATATCCAGACTTGCTATAACGTTTTAAAGCTAAAATAGTTGAGCCCAGAAACTACAATATTAAAAAGAAGTAAAATGCATACTGTCTTCAGCTTATTCCCCCCCAACTTCCCGTTTTTAAAAATGTGAGAATAAAAAAAAAAAAAAAAAAAAAAAAAAAAAAAAAAAAAAAAAAAAAAAAAAAAAGAGAATTATGTTGTGGAAAGCATGAAAAACATGCAATCAATCGTGTCTTATGTTAAAGAACAGCTAGGCAAAAAACCAAAAGTTGTACCAAAAACTTGATCTATTATATAAATATCAAGATGAACAAGCTTTTTCACAAAATCTGATGCAGGCAAAACCACAGTTCAAGTTCCTGAAACGGAACTATCTTGTATTTATAAAATATAAAGTCGACAATATAAAGCCAGGTTGATGAACATTAAGAAAAAGCAGTTTTTAATCCCCTCAAGGCCTCCTTAGAGAAGAACCATGGACATGCTCTAAGCCTTGTCTTGGCCACAAAGATTTGTCTCAGTCAAAATAGGCCACAGGCCAAGAGAGTTTCCTTCATGGAAGAATCATGCAACAGAGCTTTGACAGATCATTGATAGCCCTGGACGTGCAGGGCCCTATTTCCACGCTGGTGCAGCAAATCCCCTGCTGGATGTGCTGCCTCTGCACGCTCCTGAATCCTGGCTGCTCTGTTTTGGAATGCCATCTATTGGTGACAGTAAATGTAATTTTTCCTGTCACGACCGTAAGAAGGCTCAAGACACACAATTGTTCTGATTTTGCTAAAAAGTCAGTGCAGAGCACAACCCATTACAGATCAACCTTTTTAGACTGCCTATGCTTAATAAAAACAGGGGAATGGCACTCTTGTGATCAAACTTCCCAAAGGTCTCCTCTGCAGAGCCAAACAGGTCCTGTTGGAGAAGAGGATGGCCAGAAACGGAAGGCATCTCTTCATCTGTGATGAAAAATCCCTTACACAGAAATGCCAAACCAAAAGCACTTAGGGCACCACATCAGAAATAAATAGGGTGTTTTTCTGGGAGCAGTAACAACTATGGAATTGCAAATGCCTGCTGGCCCTGCAAATCCAAACCACCTCTTCAAATGCAACCCCAAAGCCAGCACCTATTTGAGTTTGACTTTTGCCCGTGAGGGCAGAGAACCACTAAAAATTCAGATTAGTGACTTGAGGCCTCACAGGGCCATTTCTTTCCCAGGGGAAGGAAGCTTGGCCATTCCTCCCACGCATTGCTCCACCTGCTCTGAGAAGTGCCCTACGACCTCCATACTCCTAAAAGCTCTGCAGGTATCTCATTTTCCTCTTTTTTTTTCCCATTCCAGGACACTCTCTGGGACACACGAGGCCATGCAGGCGACACCCCTGGTGTGTTATTATTTCCTGCTCGTCTCCCTGTGCGTTGATGTTTGTGCCAGTGGAGCCAGTGCCCTTCCCAGCAGGCAGGGCAGGAGGATGCGCCTGGCAAGGGGATCCCCAGAAGGGCAGAGGTTCCCGAGGCAGCCAAGGATGGAGCTCCCGGAGCCCGCTGTGCCCGGGATCCCCCTCATCAACATCGACGACAGCGTGCTGGGAGTGTTCGACTCTCTCGTGGGTCTGGGGGAACATGAGTCCAGTTACAGCGTCCTGCCAGGTACCAACAAACTCCCTCTGCTCTCGGGGTGGCCTCATGTTTTTCTCTTGTTTTGAAATGAAACATATAAACCCTTTAAAGAGCCGTGGCCTTTCCCGGTAATTTTTGTGGTTTGGCATATGAGGCTTTTTAGCTGAATCCTGCTTTGCCAGGTAACTAATATTTTCCACAGTTTTCCTGCGTTATTGTTTGATCTTATCTAATAAAAAAATTGGTTGGGATATTTTCGTAACTTCAAATGTGTAACAAGCTCGAAGACTATTTTGAAAAATTTATTGTCTGACATAACTCCCAAGTCAATTAACATTTCACTGAGGAATTACACCAATAACACCAGTGTCGATTCAAATGAATTTAGGTTCTATTATTCTTTTTGTTGTATTTTTGATAGGCAGTACTCAAACTATGTCTACATGCAGTATTTCAGGAGTAATTGTTTACTTTGTAAACGATAACACAGAGCAATAATTGCAACATGAAACCTGCATTAGAAAACTGAGAGAAAAACCCCAATAATTCAACACAAGAACACTCTTATGCTCCACCTGTATTGAGAACCCAAACTTACTTAAGAGAAGTTCAACAGTATGATTTATATAAAATTTGCCTCTTTGGTGATCTAGAGGTTCTCACATTGCTGCACTAATATACATTTTATGGTTTTTGAAGGAGAGGTAGGGAAGAGGATTTGATGCCTTCAAAAACAAACAGGTAAAAAGTATCATTTCATTGGTCTTTACTGAAACCTGTCTTAGTAATTGTGTCAGGCCTCTCTAAATCTCCTCAAAGAATACAAGACTAGTCAGGGATTGAGAAATGATGGTTGTTAAGTGTCTCTTTGGTCCTCAGTGCAACAGAAAAGTCAGAACTCTCGCTCCAGGATGCTGAGATTTTTATGTTCAACGTCACAAAAGGGCAATTACGACTCACAAAGCAGCAAATTATGTTTAACAACCAGTGCTCCATTCTGAAAATAACAACTTCTGAACACCACTATCAGTGCTTCTCAATTTTGGGAGCACAGTTATTAACCAGTTGAAAATTACTGAGATGTTCGGCACTTCTTTTTGTAGAAGGAAGTTTGAGGGTTGAAGGAAAGGAAGACAAAGGGATGTTGTGAGGACTCAACACAAGGTTGTGCCCACTCCACAGGTAATAAATATAAGGACATGGATAAACATAAGGATCACACACTAAGTGGAATCATCATATGCAATTTAATGAACTTCATGGAAAAAAAGTAGAATGTCCTGATAACCACTAATCTGCATCAAGTGATAATAACCTACTTTATGAGCACAAAGTTAAGCCTCACAAGAGGCACGTCCACCAGGTTAATAGGTCTCAAATGGCCAAACACATTTTAGCCACATTTTCTTGATAATTACTATTTGTTGTGAGTCCTTACCTCCAGAACGGCTGAACCATTTGAAATAAAGTACTTTAAAGTCGGGGATTTTAATGGCAAAACTCCTGACTGCGGCATCTCCAGTGTGTATTACAATATTATACACATTACTAACGTCAAACCTTTCATTTAAAAATATTTTTAAAATTAAACAGAGGAAAATACCACATAAAGTAGCACACACTTCATGTAAGATATTCCAGTGCCTCTGTCAGGACCATCAGTCATGCTGAAATAATGCACAGCTCTTCCCCCTCCCCACCCCACTTGTTTTCTTCTATCTGGATTTGCATCCAAAAGCTGAGCTAAAACCACTGAACTCATTTTATTTGGAACTTCACGCTGAATTTACACCATATTTCCAAAGGTTAAAAGTCCTGTGCACATCTGCCAAGGACTTGAACCACAAGGTATTTTTTAGTCTAGCTTTTAAAGTTCAAAATTTTTTCAAGTTCATGTCAGATTTGGAAAAAACAGAGCCTATTAAATAATAGAGCACTATTATTAATCATGCTCCAGAATAGAAGAAAATGCAATCCAAACCTCAATTTCAATTATCTTAGCTACTTGTTTTGCTCTTAGTAACCTAAAAAGAAAAAAAAAACCCCACCAATTTACAGATTTATGCAGAATGAAAACTAACAGTTAAATGGAGGTTTTACAGTAACCAGACACATCTCCTTCCTCCAGGCAAAAATCATGTGAATATTTAAATTAAGTGAAACAGTTCACCCCAACATTTGCAGTTGTTGGTCCTTTGCAGCCTGTCCATTCAGCAGAGCAGGACAGGATGTTCACTGCTGCTCTATTTCTGATACCTCTTGATCCCCCACTTCTCCCTGTGCCACCCTGGCAAGTTCCTCAGGGGCCAGGCAATGTAAGGAGCCTCTCAGCCCAGTCTTTATTGTGTCCCAGCAGGGTTTTCTGTGGATCCCACAATGCCAAAGAGCAGTTCTGAACACACCAGAAGGTGCCTCTTTGCCCTGGAGCACGAACTGTGTCCTGCCAGTGAAAGAAACTCCCCCGTGCACAGAACTCAAGAGAGGTTGTTAAAGAAGCCTCCAGAGGCCAAACTGATAACTCACATCTTTATGGCTTATTCAGACAGACTTGCACCAACTTCAGGTGCAGTCTGGTAGCTAAAACAACCTAAAGAACTTTAGGAAGCCCAGAGGAATTTCCTCCTCGAGCCAGATTGTTCTCCTCTTGGAACAGCTGATGTTTTATTGTTTAACATGAGAAAGTGCAGCGTTCCTTTTGTGTTTCCTTTGGAAATTATTTAAAAGAAATATTGTGGCTTCCTGGCAAGCACATAAAAACCAGAAGTCAGGATCCAGCAAACAGCTGGATGACAAATACCTGGGTAGAGTGACAAGAGACTTGGAGCCAACCAACACTTGGCCTGGGCCTTTCCTCCTCCACTTAACATGGTTTGAGTTGATTAGAGCACAACTTTACGTGGTTGAAATGAGGCACAGATACCCCAGACCCCGGAAAAAAACAAGATGCAACAGTTCAAAACATTAATTTCCTGCTTTTTCCATCCTGAGAGTGACTTAGATTAAAGCATTTTTAAAAAATATATGGAATACTGAGGAACATCCAAACTGGATGATTCTGATAATTAATTTCTATTCCAGAAACAGGTTCATATCCAATGGTCTTTAAACACAAGGGCAAAAGAAGACTTTTGCTATGAAGGTGACAGTAGGACTGCCTTGAAGGACTTTGCAAAATGCCTCATTTTGAGACAAATATTAATTCCACTTCAAACCTAATATTTACAATAATCTTGCAAGGACATTTCCAGGCTATCCTGAATACTCTTCCTAAAACTGAACAACCAGGGTGGAGTGGGGGAAAACAAACCCTGCCAACAACCCCTCCAAAGACAACTGGGCTATCACAAATGAAAGTCTCATGGTATGCAAATTCAGATAAGGCTTTTCCAGGGCACTACACAACCTTCATCTGAAGAAGGAAGTCAAACTGAATAGGAAAAGAGGACTTTTTTTTTTTTTTTCTCTATATTGAGGGAGGTACAAAGTAACTTAGAAATGGGTTTTCAGCTTGAAACAAAACCTCAGCAATGCATTCTCAGGGTAATTAGAGAGGAAAAGGAAAGGTAGGGAAGGAGTTCAGATTCTCACCACACTTAGAGGTGCACTCAAAAATAGGAAGATCTGCATGGGATGAAGAATCTCAGCCTGGGCTGTCCTTGTCTCAAAGACCAAAAAGAAAAGCACTGTGCTAAAGTGCAATGTTTACCCTGGAGTGGGGGTGAGAACCACCCAGGGAAACCTTTGCTGGGTAAACTCCACCACTGGAAGGAAAGGGACTGGGATTAGTTTCCTTCCCAAGTCTTTACACTCTCCAAATGTCTTGCCTACTGAATATTTGGGTAGAGCTTACAAAAGGAATTTACATTTCTTGCTGAAAATTTTAACTGGTAACCTGGGGAAAACTCCTTTTTTGTAGATTCATGCCCAGAAACTTTGGAGGTAGGTATTTATTAGCACAAGTTGTTCTAGTCTGCTACTTTCCTAGTAAACAGTTTCAGATAAAGGAAATTACAGGGGAGGGGAGATGTTTGCCATCCCACCAGTCATCCCAGAATGGACTTGACTTCCATCAAGCCTATGAAGAGTTGCTGTAACTTGAATATTGTTACTTTCCTGGTTCCACAAAGCCTTAACAAAACTTTCTTACTTAATGTGCAAGGTGCAAGAAAAGATGCCCAGTGAACAACAGAGAAACAGGAGGAGGAGGCCTGTAAAAATATTCCAGTTCTGCATGACTTCTTTTAACTACAAGGAAAACTTGCTTCTTTCTCAACTGTGCCCAACTTCCACCGAGATCTGGGATTCCTCCGAAGGGTGGGGAGGAAAGAGGAGCTGCTTTGCCAAAGCCCCTCAGCAGCAGCGCTTCCTTCCCAAGTTTTGAGTGTTGGTTTGCTGTCAGTCTGAGCTGTTTGACCCCAGCTGCCCCTGTTCTGTCCCCAGGGAGGAAGGGGCAGTGCACGGCCAACGGGATGATCATGTTCGACAAGGCCGTCTGGTCGCCCAAGCCCTGCGTCACCTGCCTGTGCTCCAAGGGAGAGGTGATCTGTGACACAGCCATGTGCCACCCCTTGAAATGCCCCCACACCATCATACCTGAAGGGGAATGCTGCCCAGTTTGCTCTGAGACTGGTATGGAACACCACCTGTTTACTATTTTAAAACTACATTTAATGATGTCAGAGGTTACGAGGTACACATTGTCCTGAATTACATGGTAAGAGCAGGTCTTCATCTTTTCTACTCAGAGTACACTGGTTCTTAGATGAGTTTGATATAACATTTAAATACAAGATGTTAAGCATGCAACAGCAATTTTTATTTCCTCCTTTCTGCTTCTTCCCTCTTGCCTTTACAAAATTGTGTAAATGTATGAAGAAATAACACCTTCTATTTTCTCTACCCCTTCCATTTACAAAGGATCAATCAATAACTACTGGTGATTGTTAATGTATTAGACATCCAGACAGGCCAATCTCTGCCAGGAGTGTAAAAACACGAACCTATTTGATATAAATCAAGATAAGAAAGTCAACTCACCAGAGGAGCAACAGAACTATGATCTTGCTTCTCTATGAACATTTAAATAAAATTAGTAATTTTAAAAAGAGAAGGAATGGAGGAGATGGAGGTGAAATGTGATTTCCTTCCCCCACTGCCAGTATCTTATGTCTGCAAAGTACTGAACTCAACCTGCTCTTACCATAATAATGCTATTTAGCCTCGTGGGTGTGTGCATGTGACACTGAAATACTCTGAGACACCACAGGAATTAACTGCACAACTAGAAGTCGTGTTGATTCAAACAATTAAACTCCCTTTATTAGAATTGCCCCATTATGCAAGTAAATACTGCATCTTGGTAATGGAGTTAATGCATCTCCCTGGTGAGATCCCCACCTGCAGCCAACTCCTCACCTGGCAGTCCCTTGCAGAGAACAAGCCTCAACCTTTGTCAATTTTATCCAAATTACCTCCCACTCTCAGAAATACGATTTTTCCTCTTTAGACACCTCCCTCAACACAAAAAACTAACTAATATTAGGTCAGAAAGGAAGATAATGAAGGCTATATTAATTTTCCCCCCTTCTTTCTGGAGCTGCCATAAATCACACCTGTGTACAAACTGTTCTGTAGGGTTGGCTCAACCAGTTCTCAGTGAAGTATTTCTCTTCTGTCAAGCAGCAATCTAAGACCACATTTTCTTTCTTTCAAACCACATTCTAAGAGAAATATTTTATATTTTTCCTATATGTGGGAAACAATGTTCACTAATTTTATTTTATTACCAGACTCTTTTGTGTTGTTTTGGTTTTTTTGTTTTTTTTTTTTTTTTTTTTTTTTTTTTTTTTTTTTTTTTTTTTTTTTTTTTTTTTTTTTTTTTTTTTTTTTTTTTTTTTTTTTTTTTTTTTTTTTTTTTTTTTTTTTTTTTTTTTTTTTTTTTTTTTTTTTTTTTTTTTATGTTCTCACTGCTCTGCTCAGGTTCCTCTTTGGATTCAAGTATTATTTCACTGGATGACATCAGTGAGATGTCTGGTGACTCTCCAGAACCCACTGACCTTGATAACACCAGTGTTTTGCCATCAGCACGGACTCAAACTGGAAAGGATGAACTGCTTCCAACAGAAGTGACAGAGATTAAAGAGGGTCATAGGAAGGGTGAAAAGAAAAGAAAAAGGAAAGGCAAAAGAAATCGCCAGAAGCACAAAGGCCATCGCAGAGGCAAGAAGCCCAACCCAAGAACAGGAGCTGCAGAAGAAGAACTGCATCATGAAAGTGATGAAGATGATGGTCCTTTCCCAATTCCAGCTCATTTCCCAATTCCTGTTCCACCCGTGGAAGCTCCTCCTTTGCCATCTGGATGTTCCACCTCGGACACCACAGTAAGCTGCACTAATGCCAAACTCACACAAATCCCACCAATCTCAGATCCAGATCTAACAAGTTTAGACCTCGCAGGTAATTAATTAATGGGTCTACTTTGCATGACTTCCATAACATTATTCACACTCAAGTGCAGTCAATAGAACTGTAATTCTTTTTTGCTCCTTATCATCAAAATGTATCCTACTGACTTTTTCTCCAAAGCAGTAAATTAAAAATGCTAGATACGCTTACTAATGTTATATGAACATATCTCACACAGTTACTGTACACAACTATTTCTGTAACGTATTTTCCAGGTACAATATTACACAGCTCAGATGCAGACTGCATTTCATAACTCAGACTTTTGTCCTGAATTCTGTCCTAGGAAACAGCATCACCACGATCTCAGACGAAGCATTCAATGGGGTACCTAACTTGGAATGGATTGATCTGAGTAAAAATAACATCACCTCTCCTGGCATAGGTCCAAAAGCATTCAAAGTAAGAAAGCTTAACTCTTCTACCATCCTCTCACTAATTACTGCTTCAAAGGAACGTTTTTCCTGCTTTTCAGTTTATGGACCTAAACCAGTTTGCACCTCTTACAAGTAACTAACTATTCTATAATTACAGTACAGTTAAACCTGGCGACTCCAATAAATTTCTCATCATAATCAAGAATATCTAGGAATTAATAAATGAAATTCACCACATATTAATTGTTAAACAACAAGATAGACAATTTTTGGATATTTCATCAATTGCCATTGAGAGATTTCAGCATTGAAGGGCTCCAATTCCATTGAACATGCTCGGATTACTCAGATTCAACACTTGCAAATTTATGTATCCTCTTTCTCATTACATTAATGAGAAACTTTCAAGCACAGCTGCTTATTCAAAGAACAGCTTTCTCATTAAACAGTCCAAAGCCTTTCTATATTCAGCCTTTTCCTAGCCAAGGGAATGTACATGACAACAGGATATTCAAGCCCACCTACATATTCCTCACCTGAAGACAGAATAACCCCATAATAATTCCTCCCAGAGCAGGTATGTCCAGGTGGTAACTGAGGTGTGGAAGTCAGGCATTGAGGCCTTGCTTTGTCAGGCAAGATGAATACAAAAGGCAATAACAAATTGGATTATCACAGTATGAGTCTAATTTTGTTCCCTGCCACGTGCAGTCAGTGCTCTTGCAGGACTGTGCCCAGCACCTCCCTCCCTGTAACAGCAACAGGCTGGGCTGATTTCAAAGGGCTTCACTTCCTATGACATCAAAGAGGATGCCACAGACAGAGCAGCAAGGTGCCTCAAGAGTGAAATAAATTGTAGTGAAGCTTTTATCCCCAGGCTTTGCTGGACCCACTGCTGAAGCCCCACCATGTCCTCGAGAAATGCTCCCACTGCACGACCCTGATGTGTTCCTCTCACAACGAAGCTGGGATAATTCCTCATGCCAATTTTTTAAGCTGGCTTCAGTCACAAAAATCCTCAGTTACTGAAACGGTTGCTGCCCTTCTGCCTGAGTAAATTCGCTGGCAGACAGAAAAGCATCGCTTTGCCCACAAATGAAGAGTTAGAAACACGTTCTTTATAAATGTTTGCATTTTGAAGCCCATTTTGATGCCTGCATGGCTCACAGGGAGCAGCAATGATGCAAACAGTGATGGTGTGGGAGCTGATGTACTCAGTCAAACCCTTCCAGTCACACATGGCATTAACTGGCACAGTTATTTATATTTAGCAGAAAGAAACCAATTCATTAGAATTAATTAATTAATTAATGGATGCCAGTGCACTGCTGCTGAAAATCTTCAAAAAACCACATGTGCAAGAGAATCTTAACTATGATTACACTGCATATTTAACTATATATTTTGCACTTGGATAATCTAAGTTTTCTTCTTCATCCCTATGATTAAGATCCTGAAAAAGCTAAAACGTTTGTATTTGGATGGAAATCTGCTGGTCCATATTCCCTCTGAACTGCCATCAACTTTGGAAGAAATCAAAATAAACGACAACCACCTTCATGCCATTGATGAAGATGGCTTAAAAGGTATTTAGAAAACTAATACTGATCATATGAAATGATTAAAATGAATTTGAAAAGGAGAGTGTTCAATCAAATGCATCCCATTTGATATACAGGCAGAAAAGTAATTGTTGGCTTTAAAATGCCCTGTGTTCAAAAGGCAATAAAAGCTGAAACATTTGCATGATGGAGTCTTTTAAAATTACATTTTCCCTTCTTATGCAACTGCTTCTCTCCCAGATAAGTTTATATTTAAGGCTACCAAGTAGAGATGGATTTGAAATATGTTGAAGATACCTACTCTCCTGATCTGTGACCTGATGGTTTCCTGTGTGGTGAAAATATATTAATTATTTTTAAATTGCATTAAAGTGAATGGAATTTGATCTGTGTGAAAAAATGAGGCAGAATATAATTGGAGTTCACCACGATCACTCTAAGCCAAGTTAAACATGGGCTGAGAGGAAAAAAAAAAAAGAAAGAGAAAAGAAAGGGGACTATGCATGTTGTAATTGGATGGAGGTTTTTATCCTTTGATCTCCTGCCAACAGGGTCCCATCTAAACTGGATCAGTTTAGTGCCACAGCTCACTCTGGAGCAACTTAAAGACGGAAAACTCAGCCCAAGGGCTGCAGGAGCCTTTTAGCTCAAAATGCCCAAACTGCACCGTCAGGAGGAACAATACAAGCCTTCTGTGAAAAGGAAGTTATTTGGGATTATTTGTGAATGAGAAACATATTATTATGAAATGATGTTTCCTGGTAACATGCACTGACCAGCGCTGATTTTCCCCGTGCCCTGCACTTGGATGCTGAGGAGGAGGAACAGGATAATCCACTGGGGGCTCTCAGCACATGAGCCCGAGGGAAGAGAACATTCCCATTGTCCCCTCAGTGAGTGGAGCCCCGTGGGGATCCCTGGGCAGCTGCACAAAGGTCAGCACCCACACAGGGCCCTGCACATCAGCTGCACAACCAGGAAAAATGGGAGCACTGTCCAAGGGCTGCAGCTGCCGCCCTTTCCAACCCAACTGGGAGAGGAAACTATAAATAAAGCTGTGCTCCATCTCCAAAGCTCTACAAAGTTATAAACAAGATAATTCTACGATTATGAGATAATGGAATCCCTTCACCACATTTTTCATTGCTGTGAACTCCTTTGAGTAATGTTTAGCACTTGTACGTTATGGAAGTGCATTTTATCAGCACTCAAGGTGGCATTAACAGAATTAACTAACAGAAACACCAACTTTCTCTCCCCAGGTTTAAAGAACTTGGTCACTCTGGAATTAGAAGGAAATAAACTTAGTGAAGCAAATGTCAGTCCTTTGGCCTTTTATCCTTTGAAAAGTCTTTGCTATTTGCGACTGGGAAGAAATAAATTTAGGATTATTCCACAAGGTCTTCCTGCCACTCTGGAGGTAAAAAGAAAACAAAACAACCAAAAAAACACCTACCAACCAAAACCCAAAAAGACCTACCAAATGAAAAAAGACCCCAAAAGATACAATTCCTTTTCTACTTGACCTTTCAAAGCAATCTGCATTCTCACTAACGAGAAAACAAAACAACTGCTTTGAAAAATTGTGTTCCTGAAGGTCCCACTCCAGCTCCAAACTGCCTCTGGTTTGGATTCAGGAATTAGCAGATATTCCAAGGAATGTGGAGGGCAGGCAACAGCTATATTTTGAATTAGGAATGGGAAAACCGGTATATATTTTGATCTCACAAATTTTCTTCCCAAATGCGCTTACAGGAGTTGTATCTCGAAAATAATCAAATTGAAGAAGTGTCAGAAATTTGCTTTAACCACACGAGAAACATCAATGTCATTGGGCTAAAGCACAACCAATTGGAAGAGCACAGGATAGCACCTTTGGCCTGGATAAACCAAGAGTAAGTAGCAACCATTTAAAAGACATTTACTTTATTTTTCTCTGTTACTAGTGGGTCAGATAACAAAATAAATATTTGCACTTCATTATTTTTAACTTAGACTCATCCTTCGATTTGTTTGTTTTCCTTAGCCAATTTGTTTTAATTGCTTTTTCCTAATTGTATAATCTAGAAGGTATACAGTAAGCTGTCAAATGAAAAGATAATATTTTTTCTGACCATCCATTAAAAAAGTGAACATCAATTATAAATAATACTCCATGGAATTATATTATAATTTGGTATTGATACACAATTATCCCCCAGGTAATTTAAAAATAATTTAATACTGTCCTAGCCTTATTTCCCATTAGATTAAAAATTATAAAAGTAAATAAGATGAAGAGATGACCATGCATTGTCTATGAGTAGAATACAAGCAGAGCAAGTAATGAGAATGCAAGGAGTAAAAGATGCTGCTGCTTTTGATCCTCCCGGTAAATTATTTGCTAAACCACAGAGGGTACGTGGCCTGATCTGGCACTGCAGTCCTGCCAGCTGATCCCTGGATGTGTAAATTCCTCATTCTGGGAAAAACCACTCTGTGACTACTGACAGCATCTCTCATCCCTGGAAGTGAAGCACTGTGGGGATGATTCATTCACAAAACAATTCCATTTCAAATGGGCTTTAGAGCAAAGTTGAAAACTCCCCGTTAATGGGATAATGACTGAAGTCCCAAGCTCATTACGTGTTTTTCAGCAAACACAAATTAGTCCCTCGAGATTCCCCAGTTCAGCCCCCTCTGTCCTCATTACTGAGGAGCTCTTCCCATCAACAAAACCATTGTGCTTGATTGTTAATTCACGACTTCAATTCCTTCTGTTCCCAGAGTAATTACACATGAGCACGTTCCACATAATGCATCCTGTTCCAGTAACAGGAACAAATTTCCCTTGGAAATTCAGTTCCCTCCTAACCCCATCAAGCATTACCAATGGGGGGCAGAGCGTTTTCAGCCCTTTTTTTTTTTTTTTCCCCTCCTTTAATGCAGGAACTTGGAATCGATCGATCTCTCTTACAATAAACTCTATCACGTTCCCTCCTACCTGCCAAAATCTTTGCTACACCTGGTACTGATAGGAAACCAGATTGAAAGAATCCCAGGTTATGTGTTTGGCCACATGAAGCCGGGGCTGGAGTATCTCTACCTGTCCTTTAACAAACTCACCGACGATGGCATTGACCCGGTGTCGTTTTTTGGGGCATATCACTCCCTGAGGGAGCTGTTCTTGGATCACAATGAACTTAAGGCTGTGCCGTTTGGAATTGATGAAATGAGAAAGCTGCGTTTTCTGAGACTGAACAATAATAAAATAAGGTAATTTCCAAGCTCTTCGTTAGGTTAATGGCATTGAAATAAACGCCAGAAGACACCCTTTGCTTTAGGAGTTTGCTACTTTAAAGTAAATATTTATTTGAAGATTTTCTGAAGGAAGACCTAAATCCTGAGTTTTCCTCTGCAATATTTCTCAATATGATAAAAGTAAGACCTCACCCTCCCTTAGAGTGTTGAAAATGCTCCCAAAGATGTGGCACAACACTTCTCTCCAAGAAATTAAGCTGTAAAAGTGCTTGGGCCACGTCCCCTGGGGCAGCTACACTTTGACAGGCACAGCAAGCACCAGCTTTCTGTGCTCTTGGAGCAGAGCCCAAAGGATTCCAAAATAACTGGAAGAGCAGGTTCCAGCCAGGCCCAGCTCTGCTCTCCGATGCCTCTGTGCTGTTTTTAGTTATTAAATTAGTATATTCAAATACATTTACTTATTAAATTAGTATATTCAAATATCAAAATAAAGAGCAACTCAACAATGAAATGACGACATTGAGGGTTATCTGGAATAATTATAACACAGTCTCTCCCCCTGTGTCCCAGGACGGTGCCCCCCGAGCGCATCTGCAGGACTCGCATCAGCCACAGCGACAGCGAGGAGGAGGAGGAAGAGGAGGACAGTGAAGATTCACGTTTGGAACACGTCCACCTTGAAAACAACTACATCAACACAAGAAAGCTCTCCCCACACTCATTTTCATGCATAAGATCCTATTGCAGTGTTGTCCTTAAGCCACAGAAGAGCAAATAACAGCCACCCCCCCTCCCAGTTCTGCACTGCGACCCCCCCATCTCCAGAAACACGGCTTTATTTATTCTCTGCCAGTCACAGGTCTGCTTAGTTCTACTACTATAAATAAGATGCTGTGTATTATATACTGGAGCAAAGTAGTAGTGTTTTTCCTTCATATTGCTTCATTATAAAAACATTAAATGTAAAAAAATAGAGGCTTAAGGTTACATCATCAATTTTTGTTTCTGTTAAAACTTTTCCATTTAAACCCAGCAGGTCAAACTGTGCCCCCAGGAACGCCCTCCACAAGATCAGATTTTAGAAAAGAGGAATGTAACTATAAACCCTCAACTTGGTCCTGTCTTATTTGATTAACCGAATTTAAAACATTTTAAACATCAGCTTTAAAAATGATAGTGATAAAAGTCCTTGAGCTACAAAAATTCCAGCAACACAAGAAGGGAATTTCTTAAGACCCACTCAGCTACTGGACTTTCTACCGAACATTTTGCAGGGATAAGTTCTCTTCCAACTAAAATTTCAAGGCAAAAAAAAAAAAGTTCAATTGTTTGTTTTAGATGACCCTGAAAACTTCCTGTATTCAAACACAGATTCTGATGACTTATAGGAATGAGTAATTAATTTCTATGAGGATTTTTTTAAAATTTAAACTAAGCACATATTATTTTTTTAAATTGTTTTTCAACTCACAGTGATAGGTCCCATCCATCTGTACTGTAGTTGGTTTGTTAGATTTTTATACTGTACAGGATTTGGACTAAATAGACTTTCTCAAAACCTTAAAGTATCCAGTTAGTAGTTAATTGAACGTTTCTAGACAGTCATAAATTACCACTAAGAGAATGCTGATAAAGGAGGCTCAGAAACACATTCAATATGAATTTCTTTTTAGATATAAAAAGCAAGTGTTTACAAACAGATCTATTTCCTTAGAAAAGGGTTCTGGCCCTTGAAAATGTTTTTAATGCCTCGGTTCATAGAAAAGAACCTTTTGTAATATCCCACTCCAGAATTTAATATTATATTCTTTCTCTGAAGTAGCCAAAATTTTGATAAGAAGTAGATGACATTTTTATTTTAAAGAAAAATGTCAATAAAAAATGAAAGTAATTCTACCACCTTTCATATTTCTTAGATTCTGAGCCCTTCCTCATAAGAGCAGGTTGGTTGTAGGAAACAGGGACAGATGACTGGCCAGTTATTATTTTTCACATAATTACTTTCCACTTCCTCTGGGCTGTTCTGTGAGGAGTTAAAAAACACCCCAAAGCCCTCTGTTTTCTTCCCTCCTGTAGGTGTGCTCTCTAACCATTTCCTCTTCAGAGCAGATCAGAACAGTGGATGAAATGCCTTAATGCAGGGACTGATTTTCTTAAAGGCACATAAAAACTGGAGGTGACTGCACGTTGTAAACCCTTCAAAGGGCACACACTGACCACTGAACTGCAGCTTTACTGCCCTCACTCTGCAAGGGAAGGTTTCCCTGTGCATTCCCCACTCATCCCAGCAGCTGCTGCCCACGGACACACCGTGTGACCATCCTGAGTGGACACATTTAACAGGGCAGGGCCTCCAAATGTTCCTTTTAGAATGCTGTAGACAGCACATATGTCCTGTTTGCTCTGAAGTTTCACATTCGTGATTAGACAAAAACAAAACCACATTCTTGTATCTCAGAGTTCTCTCTTACTCAAATAGACAATGACCTCAGCGGGGCTTGATCTGCACTGAGTCAAAACCTAACACACTTCTTGTAAGAAACAATTCTAAGGTATATGGATTTCTGCTTTGCATATTTTTCCTGATAAGCTACAGTCAGAAGTCCTGCCTTGGTGATCAGCTATGTTTGGGAAAGAATGGTGACACCACCAGGCTGAGTTTTTACACACCATGTCCTGGTTCAAGTGGTTTGTTTTCACTTCTTGCGCACTTTCAACATTTGATTCCTCAACTCCCCTTCACTTTGGTTAATACTCCTTTGTCTTTGTAGAATACCTTCTAAGTTCCCAAACTACTGCTTTGAGAGGATAAGAACCCTAAATTATTAAAAGAAATAATTTTAGACTATTTCTTACCAGCTTCAGATTTCCTTTGCAGCACTGCTGAGCGGTGCTCTCAGAAGCCTCACCAAGCATTTTGAACACACAGATTGAGCCCAGGAGGGATTTCCAAGCAAACTACCTGTTGTATTACAATATTTGATGTAGTCTTATAATAAATGTAATAAAACACCGTACATTGTTGCAAGTATTTTCATTCAAATAGAATTCTTCTCTTATCAAAACATTCAGACTCATTAAGACCCACTAGAAAATCTCCACTGGATTTGCAGGGGGATAACACAGCTAAAATACAGATGAATTCTTGAGACCATTAACATCCTTTTTTCTCCAATACATACTTTTTCACATAAAAGTGAATTCCATGCAAGTAATTTGCCTAAGAGTATTCCTTTGGGGGTTAAATACAATGAGCATCAAGCTCACCTGAAAGCACAGTGGGATAAACTGTTCCTCCAGAAGCCCCTCAATAACATGACACGACATGAAGTTTACGGTGCAAATATAATACCACAGTAGTGAAACAGGGAGACTGAAGGAAAACCATTTTGGAATGAGAACACAACAGTAGCAGAGGCAGAAGACCAAGAAGGAGAAAAAAGCCAAGGGATGAAGAGTGTGCAACAAACAGCTTCTTACTCACTTAAGAAATACATGGGCAATTAAACCTGGATAACTTTTCCATATGTCAAATGTAAGCAGTTTAAATCTGTCCACTCCTCAAAATTGCCAACTACACTGCAAGTGGAATGGGCTTTATTACACAAACTCCCACTACCTTTTAACAGTGATTTTATAATGTATTTATAATCAAAGGGTTTTATAAAAAAAAGCAAATGGGATTATCACCATTAAACAGTTTGTCACAATAAGACATAGTGAAGTGACCTGACCATTCTTGGTCAAGAAAAATATGGGAACAAATGGAATATTTGGCCACCAGTAGGATAAAAATACACAGGGATAACTCAACACAAAACCCCTATAGGGACTGTTTATCCTTTAAAATACATCTGAGCAAATAATTAAGTTTTGCAGGCTTACATTGGAAATTAATATATACATTATATTAACGTATTAACACTGTGCATATATAGATGTACATATGTGATTATATGTAATATATTAATTTACTTCAAGAAGGCCATAGGATTGGACTGGATGATCCTTGCGGGTCCCTTCCAACTCAGACTATTCTGTGATTCTGAGACTGAGAATGGAATACAGTTCTGTTAAAGTATCAGCAGACTCAGAAGTCTTATAAAATACTATGGAGCAAAAAATGAGCCAACAGATATTCTTGTGGAATTGAAAGAACTCGTCTGAACCTCAGCCATGCAGGTCCCTTGAAAAATTCCTAAGTTTTACAGGAGTTGGCAGCACTTGATCTTTTAGTTTGAGAAGATGCACAGCTGAGAGAAACTGGGAGAGCCTCAAGTCCCTGATGGGAATGGGGTTTGAGGGAGAAACTGTTAAACCACCAAAGTCACAATTTTGACACACAGTTGGATTTGGGGACTCAGCAATACTCTCACTTCTCCTGTTCTCCACACACAGAAGGAGCTGCAACTTCTTTTCATGGCTAAATTCAAGAGAGAAGCAGCTGCAAGCTGCTAGGACTGCAGAGAATTTTGTAACCATTTCAGAGAGGAAACTACTGACAGTGCAGCAGGAACCTGAATACAGATTTTTCACTACTCAGCCACAGACAAATGCAAGGTAAATATTTCTGAATACGAGAATGTAATGCAAATGTTGTCACTATGAGGGGTAAGGTATTTTAAACTCAGTAAGAGACCCAGAATAGCTGAGGTAAGGATTCAATAGCCAGAGCAATTCCAGAACCACAATGCTTTGTGGCATAAGAGGAATTTTGGGGTTTTAGACTCCCTGGCTATTAGATTTCCAAGTTCTGACTTGCACTGTTGGCTCGTGCATCACACACAAGAATTTTGACAAGACTTGCTAAACCCTTCACACAGGTCCCACTATAAATGGAAATGTAGCAGATGGCATCCTGTGGTCATCACCAGATCCATACAAAAGGTACTGACGTTGTCACTGGTTTTGAGAAGGATTTTTCTACTGGTTAAAAGATGACAGACCTTTGAGGATCTGCCTGAATGGTTGTTTTGGACACAGGGAAATGCATTTCTGGTAGGATAAAAACTGCAAAGGTGTCCAGCAAAATACGGTTGTTACCATGGAAGCTTGGGCAGCTTTCTGAATTTGAAGGAATGCTTTCTCCAAGCAAGGTGAAAGATCTTAGAAAAAAAACCCTACCAAAAACTCAGAGAAATAAAGGCACCAAATGCCTCCTGAAGTGAGACTTTTATTATTAATGCCCATGTGTTGAGGCTGTTACAACCTCTGAGACCCCAAAAATGTTGAGCTCACAGTCCACACCCTTCTCCACCTTCCATTTCAACTTAATAAAGAACAGAGATCCCTTGGTGACAAAGCAACAAATCACTCAACTTCACCCCAAAAAGGAGTTAAGGTGTGACCACTTCGTTTTGATTTGCCCAAGACAAAGTGAACTTCACCCAGGGAATTCTCCATTACAGAAACACTACAGAGGGTGGCTGACACAATTTCTGAATTTCAGCTCTGGAACATGCCCCAGACATGTTACTGCAAACACCCCTTAGCGTTCAGGAAGAACAAAAATCACAACTGGCAAGCAGGATTTTATCCTTTCTCTACCAACAACTTGGTTATGCTTTTACAAAAAAAACACAATGAACTTTGAAGATCTCTCTCAAGCCACAGCTTTATAAACAGCTGCATCACAGCAAGAAAATAAACAGTTTATCATTTCTGCTGTATAGTAATACCACTGCTAACCAGTTGAAATTCTCATGAGAAAACATGTTCTAATTAAAGTACTATGTTTATATTCCAATGTATACAATTTTCAAACAAAACTACAGACAGTAAAACAGTAGAAATACAGACAAACACCACCAAAATAATTTAACTCAATAATTCTGGTAACTTCCTGTTTGCAGAGAACAAGTCTGTGGATTGCAGGTCCAATACAATATCTGGTGCTCTGGAAGCTTCCTTAGGACAATTCCAAATCTCTACTCATTTTGGAAGTGTAGGCACCTAAAAATGTAACCTCAGGGACCTGCTTATATCCCCTTTGGATTTACAGCCTCGAGCAACCAATGTCAAAGCAACACTGAACATGCAATGCCAATGTGTTACAGCTTTCATGTCCCCACTCCTTGCTGAAGTCAGGTTTTGGAAAGCCAAACTTTGGGTCAAAGACTAATTTATAATAATATATCTGACTAATTCAGTAGACACACATTCCTGTTTCCTAATGAACAAAAGAGATCCCTACAGCTATTGCATATTTAGTAACAAGACCCTTCTCTTACCATCGAATCCCAAACTCTCCATTTCAAGGCCCTAATTTTACTTTCCTTGGCACGCTGAGAACCATTTTAAATGAGGAAAAAACAGCAGACATGTGAAATAAGAGCTCTGATTTAAAGATGTCAACAACTTCTGTACAGTCCCCAAGCCCAAAGTATTGTGGAAAAATGTTGGAACACTTTTTCCATCTAAAAGTAGAGAAGACGTCAGTTCAAAACCTCTAAAATGTATTAAACAGATCTCCTTTTCCACATTAGGAAATGACCACATGATCAAAATGAATCTCACTTTTTATTTCCCTAATAAA